TTGATTACTTTGATTCCATTAAATTATTAGAGTTCTGGATTGATTGTTTACTCTTTATAGATAAGAAGGTAAATAATCTACCATATTAAGTGAGGAAAAAAATTTATAATGAATTAAAAGTTATATGTTTATAGAAAAAAAAAACACAAATATAACTGTAAAACTTACAAATAAATTATGTGAAGGAAACACATTAACTGTAACCAATTTTTAAATATAATTACAAAAAACATTTAATAATGCTCAATACTATGACAAAATATTCTGTTATTATATAATTATATTTTATTTTTTTTTTACTAGAATCATAATTTATTACAAAATTTAAATAAGTTTTTTTTTTAAAAAAAAACATAAAAATAAATTTATGTTGGATTTAAGATTGATTACTTTGTGCTTATAATCAATTTTAAGTTTTCCAATTGTAATAATCATGTTAGTAACACAAAAAGCAAAAATATTTATAAGTTATTAAAAATAACTTTTTTAAAAAATATAAAATAAGCAGCATTAATTTATTTTAAAATTTTTATTTTTATGTAACTATTTACTTAATTATTATTTTAATTAAGTAATGAAGTGTCTGTAATAAGATTACAAATTTAATTCAAATTTGTGTAGAGATAATTATTTATTTATTTTTTAACACTATTTAAATATATAACTACTTATTTTTTAAAACAATAAAACAATCTACTACTTTAATCACAATGATTTCGATAATTCTAAACACCCTCCTCTTAGGTCCCATCAGATTTACCACATCTAACAAAAAATTATGAATTAAAAAACAATTAATTTTTTAGAGAAAAAACAATTAATTTTTTTTAGGGAAAAAAATAAATAAATCAATATTTGAAGAATGTGATCCCGAGCCGAATAGTGTTCAGCACTTCACTCAATGTTCTCTATTGTCCACATTTTACCCAACCCCTTCAGGCTCCGCCACTTGTATGTTTTTTTTTTTCTTTTAGAAGTCTCCCCGTGTTGGTCCAACAACACATCTCTCCCGTCCAATCGTCCGACCAGATTTCTAAACCTTAAAATCAGAATAATCTGACGGTCAAGATCATTAGAGTATTCGCTAAACAAACCGAAAAGAACCACAAGATCATAGCTATGTCTCTTGCTATCGGGTTTTCTTCTCCAATGAGAAGCCTCTAGCCTCATCTACCACCTGCGCCCGTTACTTTCTCTTCTGCGAACTCTTCTCAGCGGCCCACTCTCTCTGGAGAGAACGAAACAACTCAGGACGACAATAATCAGGTTCTTTTTTGCTCAATTCTCTCTACTCAAATGCCCTAATTTTATAGATAGAATACTAGGTTTAGTGCAGTACATGCTCTTATTGACTTCTCTGTATTCTGTAAATGTGTTTCTGCGTCTACTTTCACTTGTTTTATGCCATTTTTTTTAAAAAATTTGACTTCTTGATACTGTTCAAAATTGTATCTTCTTCGAGTGCAGGCGCTATTTTGCTATTTGTAAATTTGTTATTCTAGTATTATAGAAGTTCTATAGTGTTAAGCGACCAACGAATAGGTTTTTTCCTTTCTCCCTACTCTAAATCTTGGAAATGAATTATCAGGGTTTACTTTCAGACATTCCTTGAAGCGTGTTTTCTCGATTTTAATTGTAGGAAATGAAAACAGATGATGGAGTTGTTTTTGGTGCTTGTGGATTACTGTAACAACTGTAATTAAGAAATGAAACAAAAACCCTAAAGAACAATTCTGTTGAATATCATTTTTTATCATTGGTCATCTTTGAATTATTTTCAATAAAAAAATTTTAGATTTATTTATGAGGTCCGTTCACTCTGCAGAAAGTATATTGGATGGCCATAATACAGTGTGGAAGTACATGGGTTGCTCAATGGGGTATTCGTCCTCAGTTTATGCTAAGACCATACATTGCGCGCAGGATTTCAACACCTCAATATGGGTAAGCATTCTGCATATCTACTTTATTTCTAGATTCCGAAACATCGGATTTGCAGTTTGGCTATGACTCTATTCTTCTAGAAACTCAAATGGCTCTTCGGATATGTTTGTTTTGTTAGTATTATGGTAGGCTTCGGCAAGTATGTCATGCAAAAATGAATAATTAAATTAAGTTTGGGCCTATGTTATCCAGAGATTCTAGACAACGATAAGCTGCAGCTTTTTTTTCTTTTGTAATAAATGGAACCTGCAAAAAATGGTGAAATTGTCTATTTTCACGCTGGTGCTATCAAGTATTCTGTTGCATGGAGTTTTCCAAGTATTACGTGGTTGAAGGAGTCTTTGGGTTGATATTTTATAGAAATATGTCTATATTGAGTTACTTGGGTATTTTAACAGTGTGCTGCTGCTTCTTGAAGCTGAATGATTTAACTGCATTATGAACAAGATAGTCTTCAGGATATCTTTTGTGAAGAATGATTTGATATCTCATTTCCATTTCACAGTGTCACAAGCAGGATTAGCGATTTGTCATCCTCAAGTTCAAGCTTATTTTCGCGTGATTCACTACCATCATTATCATTAAGGGGAATGACACAAAGTTCTCAATATCGTAAAGGAGCAAGGTTCATTGTTAAGGCTGATGCTGTGAGTTTGAACTTAGTTTTTTTTTTTGCTTCACGATGGTCTTGAAGGATCGGTGTTTTTGTGTGTGTATATGCATATTAAATAAATACTCATCTGGTTTTATGATTGGGTCTTTTCTATGTTATTGATATGATGCCTGAAGCTTTCGTATTGCTTAATGATTAGTCTCTTTACACATGCAGGATTATTATTCTGTCCTAGGTGTCTCAAAGAATGCAAGTAAATCGGAGATCAAAAGCGGTATGCTCTTAATGCTTTTTTCTGAGTGGGATCTTTTACAGACTGCTAAAACTTTTCATAGTTGCATATGGGACAAATCTAAACTTGGTTCATGAAAGATATTACAAGGACATGTTTTCTCTGAAAGGAAAATCTTAACATTTTCCTATATTTGGCGCGCTTGGATGATCCTCCAAAATCTTGGAAGATAATATAAATATCTTCACATACGTAGAAGCACATTAATGCAGCAATCTCAGGGATTTTTCTTGAAAAGCACGTTAAAGTTATAAAAAAATAAATAACTTTGAGCAATACATTGGTACGTACTAATTTTTTTTATGAAGCTAATAGATAACTATTCATCCTTGTAGGTAAGTTGATATTGTTCATTAATAGATGGATTGAAGAAAAACCAAGGAAGAAATAGAGCAAAATGGTGGAAGAAATTGTCAGCTTTTCCTAAAAAAGTAGATACTTAGAAAATAATGAGGTGATGGAAGATGAATATAATAAAGGAATGATGTATATGATGTTTGACAGGATTTGTGAAGTAAAAGGGACGAAGAACTTCACTTTTTGAATAATTTTTTTTTACTTCGTTAGGTTAGAAAATAATTTTCGGTTGATTATCTTTTGCCAAGTGAACATAGGAAGATAGGGAAAAATAACTTTCAAAAAGTCATTTTTTTTGCAAGCAAAATGAAACCTATATTTCTTTTGTTTTCCACTATCTTCACTTTGCTGTCTATTAATGCTCTATTATTCCGTATGTTTGTTTTGTTGTAATCTGTGTTCCCTCCCTATGCACACGTATTAATATCCTTTTGGCTCTTGGCTTAGTGACCTTAACTGTGGTATTC